TGTATCGGAAATTCTAAAGATATTCTCGTTTTAAAATTATTTTGTGATATTGCTATTGAATTGAATTTTATGGTTTAAATGTGAAGAACAGGATATTTAATAAATAAAGGTAACGCACAAAACGTTAAAAAAACACCCCTTTGGGCGTAATATAAAATATGGATGCTTTCATATTTTTAGTCCAAAGTTCCAATTTGCCGAGAAGGACTGTTAATTTCGTTTTGGCATTTTGCTTTGTTTTACTACAAGCGTTGTTTCAGTTTTCAAATTGTAGCCACCAAATATTATCGCTCTGTATTATATTTGAAGGAATTAAATAATGAAGAATCTGCATAAATGTGTGTATGTTTCTCGTATTGTGATAGAAATTCTCACTCAAGTTCAAACACATTTTTTTAAACTTGTAGTGGATGATACTTGATGATAATACAGTTTTTTCACACACACACACACACATATATATATATTGTATTTTAAAAATTTTTTGTTGACCAATTGAGGAATTGATTTTAATTTTTTTATATTACTTGTTTTCCTCAGTAATTAATTTTCTTATAATCTGTAATTTTCCTATTTGCGTAAAAATATTTGCAAAATTTCTCTTTTTACTTTGTTATAAGGGTAACCTGACTGAGGCATTCCGTAACAATGATAATTCTACGTAGAATTTGTTGCTGCTAATGTTTAAAACTCACAGCTTCTTTATGTAATCTTTATGTATTTATTGACATGATTTGTCAAATATTATTGTAATAGTTCTTGGAGCAAAATTTTATTTCTTATTGGAACGCTTTTTTCTTGGCTTTAGTGCAAAAGTCCTTTATGAAACATTCTCTTTTGTAGAATCAGTAATTATTTGCGTGATTTTTTAATCTGTCAGCATCTACTGCCAGTAACTGATTTATGTAGGAATTAATAATTAATTTCAGTAAAGCAAATTTGAACAGAAGTTGTAATATATGTTAAAAGGTAAGCATTTATGAGACGAATACAAGCCAGTTTCCTTTATAAACTCCTCCACGAAGTAACCCGTCTGTTTAGTTAGATAAGTCTTGTGTGCCATGCCTTAATCAAACAATTCTTGTGCAGACTTTTTAAGTCGTGTTTTAAAACTTTAAATTTCAGAACTTTTGCGGAAAGTTTTTTACCAAAACATTCTTTGTATTTCCAAATTTGTTAAATAAACGCTAAACTGAATTAAACATTTTTATTTTGTAGATTTCAAAATGGTAGCTCTGATTAATGTTACTGTAATTTAAAAATATATCAGGAGTCTCAAACACAAAAATTGCTCTACGAGTTGCAAAATTCATTTTCTGCACTTACGTCCGCCTTCTTATCATAATAAATCTCGATGAGATTGCGTCGAATGGATATGGTATTTAAGTTTTAACGAATGATCAGAGCCTTCGAGATCACGTGATCACTATTGACCATTTGTTAACTTTTCTACATATATGAGCATATGTTAAGTACAGTTGAGTTCATAATGTAAAAAAATTAAAAAATTCTGTTGAAGTATAAAATGAAAAAAGCAAAGTCCAATACCAGTTTTGCCAGGTAATGTCCTTGTCCTGTTTTGCCAAGAACGACAGGATTGGCTGAAAGAGGAAAGAGCGCAGTCCTCCAAACATGTGCATCTCAAAGCCGGAATTTTAAATTTGGAACCCGTTTTCGTATTTATTTCATGTTTTCTGCGAAACTTCATGAAATTAAGATTTACAAGCTCAGCGAGTTAAAAGTTTTTTGTTTTCACTTGGTTAAGCGTATACGATACGTATCTTTCAAATTTTATTAATTTCAAATTTATCTGAATCTTAGCGATTCAGATGAAATGTGTTGGTACTCCCTGCTTTTCGGAAAAACGGGAGATATTTGATTTTTCTTTTAAATTAAAATTTTCTGTTACTGTCTCTCACAAAGTAAGCAATTTAAAACCAATAAACACTGTTCATCTCTATCATTATTATTGATTACTAGCGGAAATACCCGATAGAAGTTAAATTGAGAGTTATGTATCTAACAAGAGACAGAAAGATACCGCTGCAGTCCTTCTCTAATAATGATGCAAAAAATACGATTCATAGTCATACATTTTTCACTCTCATGCGATATGGAACCCACATAAAATACTTCCATAGACAAATAAACTAATTCTCTCTCATTATATCAGCAACAATTGGCACGCTGTTTTTAACGATTTTCATTTTTGTAATCCAATGGTCATAAAAACTCAAGTTCCATCTAATATTTCACCTATATTCAATTTTAGTCTATTCAGTGTTGCAAAAATATGAATCATAATTAATTAGAAATCAATAACGCGAACAAATAACAAACAGACATTCATGTATATATAAATTTTGTAAAACTTAAAAATTTTTTATTAACAAATTCCACGATGTGAAAGCGAGCAGCAGCAACACCGCTTTTCGAAATAAAGCATTTTTATCTCCAGCTCGCGAGACTGTTGCCACTCGGAAAAATGAGTGTTTTCTAAGTTTTTAATTAATATCTCAGCTGATTAAAGGCATACGAAGATAGGAATAGTCGAAATGGCTACCCACAAATTTTTGGAATCGGGAATAATGTAGTTAATACTTGGAAATGCTATTTTTATTTCATTCTTAAAAAAGTTAGATATTTTTTATTAACAAACTATGCGATTTGAAAGCGAGCAGTGGCAACACTTCTCGTAAAAAAAGCAGAATTTTATCTGCAGCGTGCGAGACTGTTGTCACTCGGAAAAATTAGGGCGAAGATTAGCGTTTTAAAAATTTGTAATTAATATTTCTGACTTTAGCTACTTTTTTTGGAGAAAAGTGGACGTCGAACCTTTTCCAGGACACAGAAAAGAATTGTAGAAAGTTTGGTGACGATAGCTATAGTAGTGACTGAGTTAATCGCTAACAAGCAAACACACAGATATTCTTCTTTATATATATAGATTAGCTGGACGCCTGATGTTACACGAACTGCACTCAAAAGGCTAGTGGTAATAAATTTTAAACTCAAGTTCAGCATTAAATTATGGAACGCATAAGACTGAAGATAATCAAGCAGCCAGCTGGTCTTGAAAATATAATGCGGAAATCTATAAAAATAGAAACAAAATCCCAAATATGTATTCTTTTTTAAGTTTCAAATGTAAAAAGCCTTCAGCAGAAGCTCATAGGCAAATATCAGAATGTTTGAAGAAGCAGAAAATATTATCGGACAATACGTCAGTATACGAGCTAGGATATTCTAACGAAATGATGAATTGCACCTGCAACGAAAACTTCTTCAGTGAGAGAACAGCGAACGGTTCCTTACGTACTATACATTATCTTCCAATAGCATAAAAATCTATTTATCTGATCAGCAGTGTAACAATGAAACAATGAAATGTTCTTATGAGTTCAAGTAATGTTCATGAACAACTTTCTGTTTTTCTGCAAACGAAAATATTAAGATCTGCTCCCACGCACCATTTTTTAAAGTCACTGTTGCCAAATGCATGAATAGAGAATTAGTATTTTCTGGAGAAGAATACTTATGTTACAATGTAGTTAATTACGTAAAATCGTTTCATTTCACATTTCAGAAAGTATTCTACTGTCGGAGACCTCAATTCTCATTTCAAGGTTATCTACTTTAAAATGCTACTACGTAATTTTTCTGTGCTCACCCGCGGCCGACCGGTAAAGTCGCTGAACACTGGTAGTTCGGTCCGAGGTTCAAATTCCAACGAACGGGCTAGCTGCATGGGCGTTTTTGTGGTTTTCTCCATGTGTAACGTATATGCGAACCAGTTTCCCTTAGAAAGCCCTCCACGAAAGCGTATCTCCCCTTAGACAGATAGCCCTCGAAGCTTTGCCGTAATCACATAAACCAAACTATCACTTTTTCGTGGATTAATTTATTAATCATACTTTTGGCTTCATTCAAAGAACTCTTGCCTAATCCTAGAGACGTAGCCAAGTCTTAGCTTTGTAGAATTCTAATGAAGCAATTCTGCTCAAAGAAATTGCATCTCTGACCAGAATACGATTTAAAAAGTAAAATATATTTAACTTTTTTGATATTCAGCGCAACACTGAACAGGCTATACGGACGGCCGTCAAGGTGTAAATTTAAGGAAGCGCCAGGTATGTTAAAATTGATTTAATTAAGTTGTTTACATAGCGCTAATAGTTATGACCAGCACAACCATTAAATTACCTTTGACTATTCATAATCATTCATCTAATTCTCGAGGCTTTGCTGTAATCACATGAACCAAACCATGATTGTCAGAAATGTCGTCTAGCCATTTCAGACGCAGTTTGACACTTAACATCCCGCAAGATTACATTTTACCGATTTAGCATATCCACTTTGGCCTTGCTTAGACAGTGGTAAAATTATTTATTATTGGAGTAAAGTAAAGTAAAGGGCTGAAAGTATATAAATTCGCCAGCGAAATCGGAGCTAAAATTGTCTTTGGCCGATATTGATTCGAATTAGGTTAGGTTAATTGATTATTGCAAAGCTCGCGAGGGTTATTTAAGAGGGCCCTCGATGGCTAAGAAGCCCTCGCGTGGGCTATCTATTATTTTGCAAGTACTAAGAAGAGGGGTGCCGTCATGGAGGACCTTTCTAAAGAAAACTTGAACATCTTCACATTACACATGCGGAAAACCAAACCATGCAGTCAGCCTGATTTCGAACCACAGTAGAACTACCAGTATTCAGCGGCCTTAACTGTTCGGCTATAGTGGTTGGGCAGTATTGATTCAGAGCCAAGCTTAAACTGTTTGAGAACTCATTAGGATAGCTCATGTTTCACCAATTTAAAATTTTTAACTTGTTTGTATAATAAAAGGAAAATAGGAAAAATGCTCATTCATTCTCAAATTCGTCAGATTGAGTAAAATGTAAGCAGGCTTCAAGGTTTTCTACTTTTATGAGTTTCCTAAAGAAATACATTTTCCCATTCGGCATTATTTTGCAACCTTTATAAATTACTTCTTTTACAGATGACAGCCAAGTCAGTTTCTGGATGTACGCCATGATTTCCATCGGCACAGCGTTCGTCATCTTCGTTGCGGTCACAGTTTACCTCATGTGGTCAGTATTTCTTTGTTTACTTCTTTACTTGGCAAAATCTTATTCGATTGGTTAATAAAGAAAAGCGTAAATTTTCGGCACGCTAAAATTAGAATATTAAGTTTTATATTAGATACCAAAACGATACTGGATTCTGCACTTCGAAATTTTTGCTTATTCATTTAAAAGGGCAAATCGCAAGCTTATGCCATCTTCTTTTCTACCCTGCCCACATAGGTCATGAAAATTTATGAAGCGTCCATTTGAGTTTAAATTTAACTAATAAAATTTATTTAATTCTTTTAGAGCTTTCCTGCTCTAAATGCTTGCAAATGGAAACCCGATTTGTAAAATACCGGTTTTGTAATCCAAGTTTTTAAAATTTTTCACCCAGTTTTCCTTTTAGCTTTCAGTAATTCTGAAAGCATCTTCTGTCTGAAATCCTTCCTAAAATAATTGCAAGTGTTTAAGATGATTTAAAGATCTTAAACTAAATCCTGTTATTATCTTTGAATACGCTTTAAAAAGTAATTTCTCTCGTTTATTCTGCTTTTATCTTAATTCGTCTTCTATTAATCGCTCTTTATAATTAATGAGAAACAAGGAAGCACAATCCCTTTTAGTAATCAATTAAGGGAGGGGAGAGCTTGAATTTTCTCCCAGCATGTAGGAGATGCGGCTTGTTTGTAGCAGAGGAATGATCTATTTTTTAAGATCTCTCAAACTCGTTTAAATTATTGATACGTTTTGTATTAAAGCTTCCAAGAAACATAAAACATTAAGGATAAGGGTATTTAAATAAAACATTGTTTGATTGAAAATCGTGTTTTTATTATTAGCTGTACAAAAATATTATTTTTTCGGGGACAGTTAGCCTTCTATACCTTTTTCTAATGCACCTAAGCTACACTCTTGTCCATAAATTAAGGATAATTCAGAATCCCACGGAAATCGAACTCTAAGGTAAAAATTTCACCTGTAAAATTATCGCACACATCTTTAGGAATATGCAAATTACAGGAAGCCATTAGGTGATGCTGATACTATGTCACAATGACGAGAGTATGCTTACGAGGTCAATATGCTTGCAGGCCCGTCAGATGTGTTCCGTTCAGCAACTCACTGTCTCCGACGAGTCTAGATTAAGCTTGCAGTCTGATTCACATCGGACTTTCATATGGAGAACTCTAGGTACTCGCTATCACTAAGGCAACTTTATTGAACGACACCATTATGGCGGTGTAGGATTTCTCGGTTGCCGTAGAATTATACTGGGCTCCAAAACAGATCTGCATGTTCAGATCGAAACCATGACAGACCAAATTTATCGGGACATCATTCTGGAACAACATGTACGTGTGTTGAGGGGTGCCATGGACGCAGAAGATTTGTTTATTGATGAAAACGCTCTTCATCACCGTGCAAATGTTGTAAAGGAATCATTCAATCTGAGGATATCACTCGTAGGGAATGGCCAGGATTCTCACGTGACTTTAATCCGATAGAGCATGTGTAGGACATGCTTAACCGGCAAAGTGCAGCCTTTCAAGCATCGTATACATGTATACCTTCTTCGGAGAGCATTGATTGCTGAGTGGAGTTAATCTTTCTCAAGATTAGCTCGATAATTTGATACTCAGCCTAGGTGTTGTACGGACTGTATTTCATCATCGTCTGGGAGACACACAGTGTATTAATCGTTTTTGTTCTTTACCTTTTGTTTAATAAATAGACTTTATGAATTAGTCAGGTTTGTTTTGTTTCTCAACCACTATTTGTCGGAGCTATCATTATCCTTAATTTATGAACATGAGTGTAGATTAGAGGACTGGTATGAGTTTTGGCAGTGTGCAGGTTAAAACCAGTGGTATGAAATGTAACTCGAATATTTGTTTGTTTACTAGAAACTAGGTAAATAAAAAGAAAATGAAGTGCAATACTACGTATTATTATACCATTCTTCAGGCTCTTATTTTTTTAACAAAAATTGTTTTTGCTCATATCTCCATTTGTGCTAGACTTCTCCAGTGTGTCATGGATATTTTGTATCATTCTTTGGGTTACAGTTGTAGAGTTATTATATTGTTTTAGAGCCGGGAAAGGTGAGAAAAATGAACAATGTCGTTGCCGGCATTCCGACTCTGGACCTTCCGATTGCTAGCCGGACATGCTGCTAGTTACAGCCTGGACTATACGCAGCGAAGGGAAGAACTTTTGTTAAATTTTAGTTAGCATAAATGCAGTTGTTTCCTGTGGTATTACTTTGAATTCCTAGTTTATTGACCTAACATAACGTATTGTATAACTGCTCTTGTCAACAGAGACATTAAAGCTGACCCCACACACCTCAGATCTTTTCAGAAACTCCCGTTAGGGGCATCCTACTAAGATGAAGGCCTTGTCAGCCATTTGACATTGCCTTAGCAGACTTTCTTCGCTAAAAACAAGAAAGTGGCGAGAAGGTAAATCGAACTCTGGTTGCCGTGCTACCAGCAAGTTAAAAAAGATTCAGATTCGTATGTTCCTTAACCCTTTGTTCTTTTGTTCTGAGGCCATCTAAGTGCAGTCCTCTGGGCTTACTTGAAACTTCAAGCCGCTCCAGAGAAAGCATTAGCATACTTACAATTTAAAAAAACGTGCTTGCCATGGAATGAATCCTTCTTTAGAAATCTGTCATTCGATTCAATCTTAGAATCATCAGATTTCCGCCTGCCCACCCTATATCATTAGAATCGCCCGTTGTAGAATTAGACTTCATTATTTTGTGATTTTAGATGGACTTACTACAGTTCAAGGAAACCATTGGAAAACTTTTCCATTAAATATATACTAGTATAATTTCCTCATGTTTAATCTAAAGATTTCAACGCAAATTTCAAAGTGCAACTATTCACTTACTAAACTGAATTTCTTAGATAACTCGCATATAATCTCCCATAGCAGTCATGAATACGATGCTAATGTGTAAAGAAAGACAAATAAAAATATCGATAATTAAGTACTTTATACAGCGAACTCAAAATTCTACCTGTATACCTGCGTAACTTTACACAATTTAGCCTGTTTAGTGCAAAACGTGCAACATTAAGTTGTTTCTTCAAAAGGCTCTGTTTTCGTCAAACGCACATGCATTCAGCAGTAGTTTGCAATCATTATTGTAATCATATACTTTCAGCTAAATCTTACTGTTTATGTCGTTACGGAAGCACACATACTCTGCTTACCATTATATACAGCATAACCACAGGCATTTAAATCTTTCATTTTTCTGATGAACTGCTCTTTTGAATGGCTTTTTTGCATCGCAATCGGGAAGTTCTTACTTGACAGTAAATCATCTTCAGCTCCATCCATTAAGTTTGAAATGTTCATTATGTTAAAACCTGCTTTGAATAATGTGTTGAGACATCCTTCTCTATGCTGATAATACCCATGTATTTTACCCACACCATAATCTATCCATTCGATTTTTTATACTCTCAGAATAATCCATATAGTAATTTTTCCTTGACAAAATGCTAGTCAAAGATTAAACTGGCCAATATGTTTTCTTTTAATTTTTTCTTAAGAATCAAAGTATGGATATTTTTACGAAAGTATATGGTATTTAAGTTTCTATATTTTTTAAGATGTCGTGCCATATGGTAATAATTAAATGTATAGAATTTTTTCAAAATAAATTACAAATATAAAAGCGTAATAAAATAAATATAAGTGGATAAGGCTAAAACTGTTGTGAACACGTTGCTAGCCCCCACCCAAAGTCCTGCTATGCTGCCTCATTTTGGCGGAGGGCAGAATGGGTGAAGTAAGTGTGGACCTAGCTCTATCGCCACCCTAGGCATGAAGATCATTCCAATATACCCAGATGAAGCGTAACAAGCATTGGCCTTTCAAGGGATCATCTTCTTGGTCAACGTGTGACACAATTGCGGAGCCCGAGCATTCTTTCCTCTATTCCTTTCCCGTTTTCTTTTAGGTAAAACTTCTTCCTTGTGGGCTCACTGTAAGATACAGTGAAATTATTTGTCTCTTGGTATCCATGGTGCTAATAAATGCATACACTTTTGCCTTGCATGGAGACACATACGACTGGAAAAGATCCTGAAAGTTGAGGCATAAGGCACTCTTACACATAGCTTTGGACTCTACTTCAATCAAAACACGAAGCATTTAAATGCCTTCCTAGTCGTTTGGCTGGTCACTAGTTCACAGTCTGAGTTGCTGATAAGCTTTCGTTTCTTGCATTCGGGAAAGCTGACTGTGGGTTTTCAGTTCGCATGTAGACCCGGTTACCCTAATGCCCTTGTTGGACTCCGTGGTGGTGGAGCTGTCGGATCCCAATCTTCTACTTCCTCGAAAATGCCTGTTATATCTATTCAGGTAATGACTCATATAAAGTATCGTCACCAATAAAAAGCTAGAATAACTGTTAATGCAAAAGAAACAGTAGAAAATGACAGATTTTTAATCATTAGAAGTGAAAATGGGGAACTAAAAGAATATTGCCTTTCCTAATAAATAAATATGATATAGGCTATTGGAACAAATACATCAAGAAACTCCAAAATAGCGAAATTCTAGTTGCAGTAAATGCTTAACAGTCTATTACGCTTTAAATATTACAATCTTTGGAACCACGAAAATTAACGTGTCTCCATAATGCTTTAAATTTTTCTCTAGGGTTGATCTCGGAAGCGAATCTCCTTTCGTAGCGTAGAAAAAAAAATAATCGAAGAATTAAAGCCTCAACGTATTTGCCGTGCGAAACGAATAAAAATAAACGAAATGTGTAATTTAGTGATAAAAACACATAATCTTTACATTAAACACTTCAGAATATTTCAAAAGTCATCAAAGCTGGTTTTCATTGCCAGCTAAGGCAATACATGCGATATTTTCAATGGCAGAGACCTGGCCATTCGGAAACCTCATGCCGAGCCACTCTAATGTACGCAAACTGATCGCAGATTGACCACGAGAATGATAATTGTAATAATGCACCTGTCTGTGTACACTGA